TGTCATGAGTTTCAACATCAAGAAGCGCAACTTTCTTCTGGTCAGTGTAGGCCAAACATAGCCTCGAGATGGCCCCACAGAGCCCAAAGATAGCCCAAGAGTGGCGGATGCTGGGCTAACATGGGCCACATAGCCCCAACATGGGCCAACATAGCCCCCAAGATGGGCCAACATGGCCCCAAGATGGGCCAAGATAGCGCCAAGATGGGCCTACATAGCGCCCAAGATGGGCCAACATAGCCCCAACATAGCGACAAGATGGGCTAGCGTAGCTCCCAAGATGCCCAGAAGCATCGACCCAAGCTGTGCCAAGAAAGCAACAACAACAACAACAACAACAACAACAACAACAACAACGAGCCACCACTACCACCAACGACAACTACAACAACAACCACCGCGGAAACAACACCAACCACAACAGCAACACGAGCAACAACGACAACTACAAGGACAAGCACACTACCACGACTGCAACAAGCCCTTTGCTTGGGCCCCTGGCCGGCTGTCGGGCGTAAGCCCTTAAATAACCTTCGGTTACCACTGAAGGCCTCCGGCGAGGACACGGGCTTCGTGGCCGGCGCCCGGATTTAAGAGGCTTACGCCTGACAGCCGGGCGCCGGCCAAGCAGGGCGAGGGCTTGTTTTCAGTGGCTTCGCTTGGGAGGAAGGAAAAATCGAAAAAAGTTGTCGCCCCCCAACAAATGCTCTGCATACCTTCCAAGATGGCGCAACATAGGGATAACATAGGGCAACATGGGGCCAACATACGCCAACGTACGCCAACATAGGCCCAACCTAGGCCAACATATGCCAACATAGGTGTATCATAGTTTCAACATGGGCCTAAGATGTGCTCAACATAGACCACATGGGCCCAACTTGGCGCAACCTAGTGCCAAGATGCGCACCAGATGGCTAAACTTTGCTCAATATAGGCCCCACCAAGACTTAAAAAGAGAGAAAGAGAGAGACAGAGAACTCAACCGTAAGATCCAAAAAAGCTGGATAAATACTCTCTCTCTCTCTCTCTCTGTCGCTTTTTCTTTGTCTTTTTCATTCTCTCTTTCCCTTTTCTCTCTTTGTCTGTATCTGTCTCTGTCTCCGTCTGGGTATCTCTCTCTGTCTCTCTCTCTCTCTCT